GGAAAATGCAACTGTAGCAGAGATATGCAATTTAATATATCAACCCAAAGAGCCTTTGTAATAGCAGCAGAAACATGTATCTCACTGTGTGCAGAGTAGCATTTTCTCTTGCATGCTGATGGCTTCAGAACTAGTTTGTGCCTGTGCCCATTCTGTTGTTTCCTAAGTAGCTAGATTGCAACTAATACCAGTATGCCTATATATAATTTTGCAATCCATACCTCTTGTATAAATATTCCCTAGATGAGACCTCCCTGAACAAATTACATAATATTTACTATAAAACTTTACCTACAACAGTGTTTTCTTTCAGAGTGCAATTTGGTGTCATAGCATGTAAAGTCTCTGTCAGAAAATAATCTAGGTAAATTTGAGTTTCTGTCACTACGAGAGGCTGCACTAATCAATGATTTGCCCTTTTCTAACTACTTACCTATAGCTCCTTGACTGCATCTTAGACTGCCAAATTTCACCCATTTTGATCCCTTTTGATCACACCCTGATCTGTATTCCCTTCCAGGTTTTTGGAGTTAACTAATGAAGTCAATATCCACCCTTTTTAGAACTACAAATATAGCAAAGTGCTAAGACCAAAACCAGCAATGTCATCTGGAGAAATTTTACTAGTAACACTTGTGGTCGCAACAAAATTTAGTAACTACAGCCTTCAGAAACAAGCATAAGGTTTCTGCGGAAAGCCAGATCCCAATTTTTAATTATTTTTCTTGCTTTCTACATAAACTTGATTTGATTGTGAAATGTTTGTATAAAACACAGTGAAACAACAGAACATCACAAACGTCAAGGAACAAAGCAAACAACAATAAAACAGACATGTAAATTTCATGCCTATTTCATTTTTCAGATAATAGTATCTCTTCATAAATCCTTTTCAATTTTGACTGAATGCCATCAACCTTTAAATAGTCTCATTATAAACAAGTACATGCATATAAAGCAACTTTTGCAGGGCAGCATCTGACATGTTTCATTTAGTGTGGAACTACAAAAACAGTCACATCTTTTATCTGAAGTCCAACAGCTCCATGCAGTCAAGATAAGCATTCATGCTCAGAAGCATAACTGAAATAGTGGATATCATATCCACAAAGGGATTCAGAGTACTGAGCAGTTAGGAAAGTTTCCGACTTCTTATATTGATCAAAAGCCATGATCACATGGAGCTAAAATGGATATAGAATAACTTTTTTCCAGAAGAGGTATGGATTAGTTGAAATCTTTATTTCAGTTTCAAGATATCATTGCTTTACGCTTACACAACTTTACATACTAAATCCAGAAACACTTTTAACTAAATTTCATTCTAAACACAGTGAAATTCTTATTGTTTCTTCCTGCATTTCAGGTGCACAGCAGTCTACAAAATACTTCTAATTTGATATTTGACCCCTATATATTAGGAGGGGGAAAGATTCTTTAGCTTAAAAGGAATCTCACATTTAATTTTGAAATAATATTTTCCAGTTATCAGTAGGTTCCAAAAACACTAACAAAATTGGTATGCAGATTATGAGCTAATAACCCTTTAAACACATCATGCAAAACAAAAATAACCATTTAAAAAGTATTATTCTTCATATTACCAGTTTAAAATGGTAAAAATATTTCTACCATAGAACATAAAGGATCTCACTGAAAAGTCAATGAAGTGTCTCTCTAGTTCATGTTAGTGAGCATGCCATTAATGAAAACCTATACAGTAAATTAAATTTTATTTATAGTCCTATAAATATTACTTTTGTCAATTAAAGTTTCATATTAACGGCTGGATCTCTCGGGTCTTACTATTGATGAAAGAGGGATTTCTTTTTTTGTTCTGTTTGGGGGGGTGAGGGGGCAGGGTGGTGGTTTGTTTTTGTTTTTTCTCCCTTTTTTCCTATCACAAAAAGGTTTTTGTTCAATACAGCTTTTTACCGGGGCCTTGGATCTGTTCTCCTAGTGGAGAATTCCGTAACTTGTGGAGAATTCAGAGTATCTTCACTCTAAACCACCACCTCTGTTCATCCAAGAATTTTCCCTTTCAAGTTCATTCCACTCATCTTATTACATTTTACTTCTCAATCTCTAAATTTTTTATACTGCTTTCTCTCCTAACATATCAATTTGAACTAAACATTCTGACAAAGGGTTTCATAATCTATTACACATACAGCAAAACAATTTCTCATAATTTTTTGTTTTATTCAGAGTTCTTCCAATTCACCCTACTGTTTAATTATTGTGGACGGAGGAAATAAACAGCTGCAATACTCCACAAGCATGGAAATGAGTGTTCTGAAAATTTCAAGAAGTGAGGAGTTTGGGCGAGAAAAGCATAAGAAATGAAGAAGCAAAATTTTAGTCCTCACAAGCAAACCACAAGTATGGAGTCTTGTGAGCGTAAAGAACACAGACTATAGTTCACATGTGTTCTTTTCTTTCAAATGATACATTGACTAGCCTACAAGCACCACGAACATTTGAAAAATGTGGTTTACAACAAAAAGTTATTACAACTTTATTAATGATTTCCACACACTTGAACAGCAAAAGACCATGACTGTACTGCTGGAAAGTCAAACACTCAATCAGCACAACTTCTGTATAGGTATTGTTTAGTCTTTAATAACATGCTTACTTGTATTTCTTCCACTTTCTATGAAGCTATATCATGATTGTACGAAGATGGAGTTTCATCTCTAGGAGATTTCTGCTTCATCATTTTCTGTGGCCTTTCATTTATGGTTGGGGTTTTTTTATGATAGAAAAGATATGTAGGGAACGAGGCAAAGAACTGAAAGGGAAGTATCCTCAAAGACAATGGAATCTTGTCCTGGCAAACTGAAATTTAGTCCTTTCTATTACTGAGTTCCAACACAATACAGGGCAAGTAATTTGAAAAACAGACTTTTCATATGAACATTAATGACGCATTTTTTGTATCTTGAATGCAGAAGTTAAAACTCTGATGTAAAAGTTGAAGTACGAAAACTTGCAGTTGAAGCTACAACAGTAAATGCAAAGCCCAGATAAGACAAAAGCACTCTGTGTTCACTATAAGGTGGTGAATGAGTGGTACCACACAGCTGCAGTCATGCATCCCCTCTGCACCGCATCATGCTGGACTGAGCCTAAATAAAGGCAAATATCCATGTCTGCCACACAGTGCTTATTTCACACCAGGCCCAACAGCACTTTGTAGATGGAATTGGTTGGTCTGGCAACTGATTGGTATATAAGTGCAAGGAGCCAGATTAAGGCAAACACTACAATGTTGCAAACCTGAATTATTAGGCAACACTTCAAGACACAAAGGATCCTTTGACAGAAATAATACAAGCTAAATTAATAGTCCTGGAACAACCAAACCTGACATACTGTGTGCCAAGAGAGCCAAAGTGTTTTTAAACACTCTAAGGGTTAAGACAAAAATAACAGTACTAAGACTCATTTTAACATGTCTACCACCAAAAAAAGCTAAGAAGCTGCACACTGATTCAAGTAGGTTTCTTTGGTATTCTACGTTTGAACATCACAAAGTGTTTCATAACTTTTCTTGGAGATACTAGCTCATAGGTAGGATGTTTAGTTGTGCTAAGAAGCTCTTTACTTATCAATATATGCATTACACTGAGAAATATTATGCTGAGTTTCCTCATTCAGCTATTTGACTGCCCAACGAGATTTTCTACAATTGTAATTGAGCAAGTTGTTTTATCTTAACAAAACCGCTAATTCATTGCAAAATCATATTTAAGATTATTCATGTTTATCTACTCAATTTTCAAAAGGGAAAAGGAATAGATGTCAGTGTTCTTTTTGTAAGTGCTACAGGCTAGCTGACAGTTTAAGCCTTCACAGGATAAATAAGAGAACTCCACATATTTGGATATTGTTTTGAGGAAAATTTTAGAAAAAGTGATGAATATTGAAAGGGAGGAAAAACATTTCCCTTTCTTTATACAGAATTATTAATAACAACTTTCATTCCCACCCTGAAGATAAGAAAGTCTAAAATACATTTCCCATTATATATATTTAATAGATGAGAAAAATACAGTCTCACTTAATTTTTAAGCATCAAATATGAGCCTTCAGAAATGCAGTATTTACTTTTACACAGAAGCAGCAACAGAAGGCCTTAGAATTACTTGTTTAAATTCTGATGAGAATTAACATTGGGTCATTTTGAAATAAGAAACACATGTCAAAAATATTACAAAAGAGGAGGAGAACAAAGGAAAAGATTGAGAATTTTACTCATCTTTTTAGAATACAGTATGTAAAGAACAGCACAGGACCTGCAAGCAGACCTTACTAAGTCCTTCATCGCGATCTCTGTAGTCCACCTGTTATTGCTTCCATCTTGGTGCTGAACAGGATTTAAAGCCAAACAAGCACAGAACCTAAACTGAGTGTTATCTCTGCTATACATGCACACAGAACCAAATACTCCAAAACGATGCTCAGAGAAATTTATATTCATCCCAGTTCTCATTTATATTAAACCTAATCAATCTAATGTTAAGAATACTGGAATTGATAATTCTGACAAACGCCCTCTGGGTCAGTCCACTTTGTATAATATTCCATCTTCAACGGCTAGCTCAAGATATTCTAGCATGGAGATCACATATCCTAGGCAAAGTACCATCCAAAATTCCATATTCCAACTAACAGATTGTAACTTATTTTTCTCTAACTCAGTGTAATAGGTTTCAAACTGCAATATTTCGTGTACATAATTCATAAGGTACAAAACATACAAAACAACATAATTCAATCAGGTTAACTGAAAATCCATTAAACATACATAGAATCATGTACCAGTAGTCTGGTACATAAAGCAATTACTTCTCACTAGGAATCCAAGTAAGTGCATTATTCTGAAAGCTGAGCAGAAGTAAATTTAGCTATCTAAACTAGTTTTTCAGGCAATATGCTAAATGACAGCATGAAGAGAAGTCACATCATCCTACTTGGAAAGGCAGAATCCCTACCAGTATTTTAGCCAATATGCCATCGTCATTTGATTCCATGGTAACCACTGCTTTGTCTGTTTCAATTTCACACAATGCATCTCCAGCATTCACTGTGTCACCTGCAAAATATAACAGAACTTCAGAATACTTAGTCTAAGCTTCCTTTCAGACCTATTTAACCATGGAAGATAGATATTTATCCATATAATACAGCCATTTTACATTCTTTAATATATTCTATAGCTAATTGATCCCCCCAACATTATCATATTGTATCTTTCATTTCCGAATAAAACCACTAAGATTCAGAGACACAAATTGCTGCAACAGAATATTAACATATTCCAAATACTGATATTTACAGCGGGTTTTCCAAGAGGAAGTACACAATGAAATTTATTTCCAGAATACCATCACTCAGTAACACTGCCATGAATAAAAACCTGAGCCTTCCATATTCATTGACAGCCATAAGTTAAATTACAGTTTTAAATGGGTTACTTTAAGACAGTGGTCACAGGTGAAAACATCTTTAAGTATCACGGTCTCTAATTTGTATCTACACTATTAAATATATTAAAATAAAAACCTCAGGAACTTTAATCTCTTTGGAAAGCATATCTGCAGGCTTATTTCCTCAATCTCCTACATAGTTTAAAAAGGTATTTTAGGAACATACTTTGTGAAATAAAAATATGCACAAATGTTAGAAATTGCTTTTGCTACATTACACAAATCTGTGATTAATTTTCAAGTATACTCTGTGTCTGTTTTTGAAGAATATCTATATTTGCTAACACACAATAAAGATATTATGGGTCTGGATTCTTTCAACAGATCAATACTGACTAGATGGACAACATCAAAACTGAAATGACATTGAAAAACTTTGAGGTAGTTGAATGTTTGGGCCTCCAACAAAATATGATAAACTTTTCCTTACATATAGGGATAAAACATTCAAACCTACCACATGTTTACAATTTTTATATGAAGTAAAATTTTAATATTTCCCCTTTACCAGAAATGCTGCAATAGTTTTATCCATCTAGGCATTTAATTCCTGATATCACTCTCTGTTGTACTTAAGCATCAGAATAAACACTTTCATTTTCTTTCTTTTTTTCTATTTTTTTTTTTTTTTTTAAAAAAACATTTCCTGTTTCCGGACTACCTGAATTAGAAGGGGAAAATGAAATATTGTATGATCTTTGTGATATCTGCAGTAGTAAACGATGGAAACGTTCAAAGCTAAATCACTCACATGGTTTTATAATTCATTAACATTCCTGTTAGGAAACTTGGCAAGGGAATACACAAAGTAGTGCCTGATCTTTTAGATTTAATAATCTTATTGCCACGTTGCACTTTGCAATAACTAGAGCATAAATAGTTTATAACAGAAGTAAAACTACCAGGCTCTATACCAGTGTTTTAATTCCACTGGATCATTAATTCAAATAGGCCATGTATCAGATCATTAGGAAAGTACTTCATAGATGTTAAGAAATCAAATTGCGGGGCAAATTCTGCAACTTACAGAGACAAGACAGGCAAGCAGAAAGGAGCTTAACTCCAAATCTTAATTTTTCTCTTCTCCCAGCCTACAATCAGACTTTAAGTGCTCTATACCAATAGAAAGAAATCTCAGTGCTAAGCAACCTGCAGCAGTAACTCCCAACAGTTCAAGCTCGCCAAAGCCAATACCTCCATTCATGTCTTTGTCACACATATCTCCTAACTCAGGTATGCGAGGTGTTCACAGAAAGCTAAGGATTGCCTTGCAGAGGCAAGGCAAGGGGAAAACCCTTCAGAGAATGGAGCAAACCACTTTTCCAGTACTTTTTTTTGTTTGTCTTTCACTGCTGCAGCCAATAAGTGGTCGTAAGTTTGAAAGGTAGCTGATTAAATGTCATTTTAAGAAGTGTATTTCATAGCAGCATTGAAAAATCTCACGTGTTTCAGTAATCAAGCACAATAGAAAGTATCACAGTTATTTTCTTTAGAGATTGCAAAATTTGTGATAGCTTCTAATCGATGTCCACCTTAATGTCAGTTACAAATCAGCTTTCCCAATAGACAGGATTGGAAAGAACACTTTTGTAGAGCGTATCATTGCTCTTATGCTTTCTAATGAGAGCACAGTATTTGCAACAGAAGTTGCCTGAACAGCAGCTCTTTGAGATTATATAGAACACACTTGAAAAATCTTGGGTATGTTTTTTTTGTTTGTTTGTTTGCTTGGTTTTTTTGTTTGGTTGGTTGGTTGGGTTTGTTTTTTTTGTTTGTTTGGTTGGTTTTTTTTTTTTGTTTTTAATAATTAAGTTCTTACAGCTAGGCTGAATGATTAGCTTCTCTACTGAAGCAGAGTTTTCCCTCTAGAAGATCACATCTAGTTGGCATTCAACAGCCTACAGTTCTTTGTTCAATTACTGACAGACAAGTATCCAAATCACAAGATAAAAACTGCATTTCTTGATGTGCTCTTTGTAAATCAAATCAAGCTGACTGGGCATAGAGACTAAAGTCCCTGGAGGCGATGTCTCAAGGCCACAGATTTACACTGCAGAAGGAAACTGACAGCACTGTTGCCTATGCTGTTTCCTGCCCACAATAAGAGGATTTCAATCTCCTCTGCTGTCAACCTATCATTTTTCATCAACATTAAATTCATACATAATAATACAAGTTTTCAGAAACAGAGGTTTATTTTTATGAGAATAACTTTATTGCCCACAGGAATAAATATGACACTTCATTAACAACGAGAAGAAAATAGTAAAGCTATCAATTAAATTCAGCATTTTTCCTTCTGCAGTACTGAAATCATCTGTTCTTCCTGTGAAACAGTAAAATTAAATCATTTGATAGTTACACAGAGAAGAAAAATTATCAGTCAATCTTCTATTGATGCCTGATAGTCACATGGTGGGAAAAACACCTCATATGCACTCAGCTTTCTTCTGTCAATTGCTCTAAAATATTTATTTTCTCAGATATGAGATTATCAAACATTTATATTCAGTAATGCCACTACATTTAGATGGCCAACTCAATGGAGGATTATGCAGTTATGAACATCCCTTGCAGACAGGAAGAATATAAGCATTATATCACTTTGCTTTTTCCTTCAAAATTTATCTTCACTTTTTTAAATGTTCTCATTATGTTTATTTTCCAGAATGTAAAAGGAAAAAAATATCCATAGGAACTAATTATGGTCTCAGATGTACCAAATAATACAATGTACTATATTCAGTTTTGGTTTTATTGCTAAATAGAAAGTAGAGCAATAAAACCCCTAAAATAGTTTTCTCTCAAAGTCCAACCATCAATTAAGACTTTATTTTAATTTAATTAGAAGAAGCGTGGAACTTTTTTTTCTTTTTGCGTTGTGGTGGAAGCGTAGTGGAAAAACTGAAAAAAAATGTTGTATAGATGTTGTATCTTAAGACCATTTTATGAGGGAAACTCATTCATTCATGTTGTGGAGGATACTGGAATCTACTTCAACTCCTATCACGTTCTCTTCTTTGATTTCTCTTGCAATTTTTAATACTATATTTATTACAAAACATTCTACTGTTGATTTTTAATGTGTTACAGTTACTGACAACATATTACTAGATAAGGACTTTGAATTATTTATTTCTCTCTGCATAATCTTGGACTTGATACTTAACTAACGGAAGCTTCAAGTTTCAATAACACTGGTGCGATTACTTGTTACAGATGTGGATTGCCATATTGTTCACAGTAAATTCTGCAGAAATTCTTACTACAAGTTTTATAAGCAAGAGGCCATGCCCACTTCTAGAGCAACATGTTGCCTTCCTGCCACCTCTCAAAATGTATAAAAGCAAAGTACTCCAGTAACTCAATAATGGAGGCTGTATCAACGCTTAGAGGGTAAGCCAGAGAAAATGGCTTATCTAGGCAGAATAGTCAAAACACACATTTAGCTCACCAAATTGTGTCAAAAATAAGATGCTTTAAGAATTTTATTTTCTCAAAACATCTTAATTTCTCTAACAAATGTAAAAATGTCTGAGAATAAGATATATTCCTACAGTCATCTAAAACTCTGCAGTGCATCCTATACCAACAGACAACTGCTACCCGGAATACAAAACTACAGTCAAAATCCAGTTTTAGAATTAAATTGGAGAGGTAAAAAGTAGATGGAGAGGGGGAAAAACCTGACAGAACAGAGACTGCCAATTCTTCTACAAATCATTTCTCATTTACATACAACCTATGTGAAGACAAAACATACACTTGGACTATTTATCTAGCTACTCCAATATATTTTAACAGAAGTACATTACTTTTCAGTTGTCAGAGCACAGAGAGCCTAAGATAGCCAAGGTTGTTCAGGCTTTTTTGGAGGAGTAGTTTGGTTTTGGGGTTTTTTGTTGTTTTTTTGTTTGTTTGTTAGGGTTTTGGGGGGGATTTTTTTTTTTTTTTTTGATAAGAGATTTCCCCATTTGGAATTTGGGTTATGAAAATAATTTAAATTTTTATATCAGCTTTAATTGTAGATGATAATTTAGATAATAAAAAAGTAAGCCCCAAATAGCAACTCTAAAAATGCTGTATCTTTCATGTTATTTCATAGTGCAGTGGAGTGATGATAGAGAGGCCCTCCCCAAAGACTCAGACTCTCATATTTCCAAAGTTACTGATTAGCATGACAACACTGGGAATTAAAAACACCACACACACTCTCACACCCTGGAACAGCCTAATGGAATTTTTTCAAAAATATGATCAATGCTACCTTTTGGAAGACAACTAAAGAAAAAATGTTTCCAGAACCAACAATTTCAAAGCAGGCATTGTTCAAGAAAACAACTTCCATATACCAAACATTTTGCTTCAAAACACTAAGATACAACCAGAAAGAACGATCTTATTCTTACAGAATAGTTGAAGAATCACAACAAATATGGCCATAGAAAATGTTATCTTACCTTCCTTTTTAAACCATTTCACAATGTTTCCTTCCTCCATAGTAGGAGAAAGTGCAGGCATGAGAACTTTAATACCAGGTATACCTGTAAAACACAAGCAGATAATTATCTAAATCAAACACTTTTTCAGTATAATTATTTTCTCAGTTAACTGCTTGACACAAATGAAACTAAAAGTGCATGAATCTGAAAGTCAGTTGAACAAAAGATTCACAATTACACTCTTTTTGTAAGCTTACATACAAGCATGCACTCCCAAAAGCACCAAGAAAAACAAGGCACTAAGTAGAGAACCCATGTTACACAGAGAACAAAGGTCAACTTGAGTATGAAGTTTTAAGTAATACAAAGTATTATGCAAATTAAACTCTGTCTTAAGAAAAGTATCTAGAAATTTTAGATCTGATGAAGAAGAACTTAGATACTCATGCTGCTTCAGCTTTGATGTAATTAATTTTTAATGGAAACTTTCTCCATGACCAAGCCTTAGTGCATTATTAAGAATATACAAGCTAGTAGTTCACGTACCCCTCAGTTCAGCCTAACCAACTGAACAATCCTACGGTGGATGCAAGTGAAACAGGGTTATATAACTTGTCCAACAGAAATGCAGACAGAAAAAAAAAAAAAAAATCTACAATTTGGCTAGAGCTCCAACTAAACACAATCTACTGTGTGCAGAATGAAAAAGCAGCTATAAAATACAAACATATATTAGGAAAAAATAAAAAATCAGCAGCTAGCGTGAAGCTGTGATTTATTTATTTTTTTATTCCCCCTGTCACCCCAAAATGCCATAAATTTCAGAGCTGAGCCAGCTAATACCCCTGCCTCTTGTGTATCAGGGGTATATGTATTGAACCAACCCACATTTCCATTTTCTGGGGCTTTCCACACATGACCCTGCATCTGCTTAGTTCTGCCCCTGTCAGGGTCTCTTTGAGCAAAATCTTGGTTAAAATGCTGTGCCACAGCCTCTCATTTACTCCAGGACAAAAGTGAATGAGATTAATCTCAAAGACCTGTCCTCTCATTTCCCACTTGCCTGGCTAGAAAGTAAGTCTGGACTCAAGATTTGTCAGCTATAAGCAAGCCCAGAGGAGAGAACACCCACAGACACACATATCTCAGTCCTCAAGAGAGGCTGAAACAGCTGCAATCACGACAAACTGTATGAGAGATACTAATATATGTCCTGCTGATGAACCATGATGTGCTACAGTGGATAGTAAAAGTCCACCCACAAATTCCTCAGCAGTATTTACCATAGTTTTTCTTCCTAGTTATGCAGTAGGTCAGCAGTATGATTTTGAATGCATGACTAGAGTACCAACCAGGCAGGCATCTTCTGTCTCAGAATACTTATGCATCCTCAGGCTTCCAGTCATAGGCATGCAAGTGTGAGGACAGGGTAGGGTGTAAACGTGCAGAACATATCTAGCCAATTGTTAGAATCCTTCCAACTCTTAACCAAAGGCTGGATGCTGATATCTTCAGCATGACCTTTGTCTTAATGCTGAGCTGCAATATTAAGAGCATGCCAAAGCAAAGCATGTAACCCCATTACCCCAAAGTTCAAACACTGAAAAAAGAAATGGGAATTCAGAGTCCTGAATTCCTAGACCAACAGTTTTGTTGCTCTGATCAAAATCCACCATAAACATTACATTCTCTTTTCTTCTCTCCTCCTCCTCTTTGTCACAGGCTGTGGAATTTTCCCCAGATGAGAGATTAAATGCTATCTTTTAAATTAATAAAATCCCCTTGATGCTAGTACTCCAGATACTTATGATCCACTGATAAACTTTTCCAATGTTTATTTATCTTTTCTGCTAGGAAACCATATCTACTTTGCAGACTGAAATTACTTAATTTCAAGTTTCAGTAATTGGATCTTATGTCTCTGTTTAAAAGCCTGAGAGATTTCTCGTTACAGAGTTCCTACTCGTGGGTGTCTGTATACAGAGACCAGTCAAATTCTTCAACTTTTCTTTCCTTTCACAAGCCAAATAAAAAGATATGAAAAGTCCCCTGTATTTAAGCAACACAACACCATGACCTCTCTGGCCCTGCAACACAATGTACTAGCCACAGCTGGGTAGCAGAATGCTCCAGCCTGCCAACTGAATCTGCTCAGTAAACCCAGGCACAGAGAGAAGCAGCACTGCACAGCAGCAAGCTGCATCCCATGGAATTGGGATTCTTCTGTGGACAGGGCTCATGATACAGCACATTCCTTGGCTTCAGAGCACAGTACATCTCTTGTCATTTGATCCAGTACTATTCAGACATACAGCTTGTAATACAAGAGATACTATCTTTCTGAACTTTTAAGGATAGCTATGATGCCAAATAAATACATCTTTTTACATACTGTTTTGTAAGAGTTTTCTAGCAACTGACTGATTTTTGAGGATCTTTCTTCAACTAATATGTCTGAATCTATATTCAGTTAGAGAACAGAAATAGACACATAGAAAGCACATTGTATACAATGGCAAGAACCAATTCTGCTTCGTATTCCCTTCTCTCTAATACCCAGCATTAAGGCTTACTATCATTCCATTGGAAATACCACTACGTTTCTCCCAGTTGTCATATTGATTCAGTAAGCAGGAACAGCTTTAAAAACTTATAAATTAATCCTTCCTTTTCCCTTTCCACCACCCACTCCCCCACACACCTGGAAGAATAAGGACCAGAGGAAAAAAAAAAAAAAAAAACTAGATGAACTTTGAGCTGAAAAGCATGTCACCTTGAGTAAGAATACTTCCCATTCTTACTTTCAAGTCCTAAGACTTGGTTAAGGTCTCAGAGAAGATGAAGACAGAAGTGAAACTTCAATTAATACACAATGATTTAAGGGAATTAGAAGTGTCCATCCATGTTCTGCAATTCATTAATGTTAACATCTCTAATAAATCTGACCTTGTTTTTCTTATTACTACAGGATTATGAAAGAATTAAACTTTACAATTATAAAAGAATGTAGGCGTTCAACCATAAATATATCAGAGGTTAGGTAGAGTTAAAGACACTACATAGTTTTTCCATTTTTTCTATTCTCATTATTATTTAATCTCTCTTCCCACACCTCTGGAGTGGATGGACCTCAAGGCAGAGACAGGGGAGCAGACTCCCTCCCACTGCAAGAGAAGATCAGGTTCATGACTACCCGAGGAGCCTGAACATACACGTAGGTCTATGGCACCCGACAAGATGTATCCCAGAGCCCTGAGGGAACTGGCTGATGTAGGTGCCAAGCCACTCTCCAGGATATCTGAAAAGTCATGGCAGCCGGGGGAAGTCCCCAGTGACTCGGAAAAGGGAAACATTGCACCCATTTTTTAAAAGGGTAGAAAGGAGGACCCTGGGAGCCACCAACCTGTCAGCCTCACCTTTGTGCCTGGGAAGATCATGGAACAGATCCTCCTAGCAGTTATGCTAAGGTACATGGAGGGCAGGAAGGTGATTTGACACAACCAGCATGGCTTCACGGAGGGAAAGTCTTGCCTGACCAACCTAGTGGCCTTCTGTGATGGAACATCAGTGGACAAGGGAAGAGCTACGGAAGTCGTCTGTCTGGACTTCTGTAAGGCCTCTGACATGGTCCCCCCGACATCCCTCTCTCTAAATTGGAGAGAGATGGATTTGATGGGTGGACTATTTGGTGAATAAGGAATTGGCTAGATGGTTGCATCCAGAGAGTAGTGGTCAATGGCTCAATGTACAGGTGGAGGTCAGTGATGAATGATGTCTCTCAGGGGTCCATACTGGGACTAGTACTGTTTGATATGTTATCAATGACATAGTGGAATCGAGTGCACCTTCAGGAGGTCTGCAGATGACACTAAGCTGAGTGGTGCAGTTGACACGCCTGAGGGACGGGATGCCATCTGAAGGGACCTGGACAAGCTTGAGAAGTGGACCTGTCTGAATCTCTTGAGGTTCAACAAGGCCAAGTGCAAGGTCCTGCAGCTGGGTTGAGGCAATCCCAAGTATCAATACAGACTGAGCAATGAAACAACAGAGAGCAGCCCTGTGGAAAAGGACTTAGGGGTACTGGTGGATGAAAATAGGGGCATGAGCCAGCAATGTGCACTCACAGCCCAGAAAGCCAACTGTGTCCTGGGCTGCATCAAGAGAAGTGTGGCCAGCAGGTCGAAGGAGGGGATTCTCCCCCTCTGCTCCGCTCTGATGAGATCCCCCCTACAGTGCTGGGTCCGGGTTTTCCTCAGCACAGGAAAAACATGACCTGTTGGAGCAGGTCCAGAGAAGGCCACAAAAATAAGAGGGATGGAACACCTCCTCTGTGAGGAAAGGGTGAGAGAGTTGGGGTTGTTTAGTCTGGAGAAGGTGGCTCTGGGCAGACCTTATTGCAGACTTTCCATACTTAAAGGGGATTCATAAGAAAGATGGAGACGGACTTTTTAATAGGGCCTGTTGCAATAGGACAGGGGGTTATTGTTTTAAAGCACAAGAGGGTAGATATAAAGATATAGATATAAAGAAGATATTTTTTTATGATGAGGGTGGTGAGACACTGGAACAGGTTGTCCAGAGAGGTGGTAGATGCCTCATCCCTGGAAATGTTCAGCATCAGGTTGGACGGGGCTCTGAGCAACATGATGTAATTGATGATGTCCATGCTCATTATGGGGGGGGAGATGGACTAGATGACCTGTAAAGGTCCTTTCCAACCCAAACCATTCTACCATTCCATGTTTTCTTTTTTTTTGGTATGTGACACGGAAACATTATAGCAAACCTCTAATAACCTCAGCAGTCATCAATGATCCTGACATTTTGAAATGCACCAAGAGCAGAAAACAAGCTACTTATAACCCAGGGTCCCCAGGAGAGCAACACAGTGAGGATCATGTGCCCCAAAACACCTGAACTGTGGAAAAGCGCCCAGTGTACACATGGTTCATGTTCCCAGAAGGCTGCATGAGATACACATATGTCTCAGCCTTGCCATGGTACTTAAATGTTTGTCAGTTTAGTATTACCCATTACTGTAAAGCTTAGAAATGTATCCAATGGTCCTCCTAATGCTGAAAATTCCTATCTGAATTACCTCC